ATCTTGTCACTGACTGTGTACACCCAACCCTCTTCCTCTTCCGTCACTTGCAATTGCCAAGACTCCAGTCTATGTCAGAGGTTATGTACAGTTTATGTGAGAGCCCTAAATATTCTCAAATTCCTTCCTTGAAATTCTTATTCCAGCACTTAAGCTCTGCTGTTCTTTCTGTACAAAATTTCTCATTAAGGATGACAGCACCCTATCTTGTGTTACGAACTGGTAGTCCATAGTAGTTCAAATATGCAGTAATGTTTTCTTACTGTAGCATTCAGAGTGAGTGCTGAATTCAAAACCATCAGAGAGGTGTGTTATGTTCAGTTTTCCCAGTGTGGATTATCCGTATGTTTACACATGGAATACTCATAAACATAAATAGACACATATGTGTCTCAGGTATTTAATAAATAGTGGATCATGTAAGTAATACAAAAAATTGCAAATCTTGTATTGCATAAAGCAGCTTTCCAGGAGAGAAAACAATTGAATAACTAATTTTACTGTCCTCATTATTATGGTGACATTTTATTCTCCCCTCCCCCCACCCCCCCACTCCCCGATTTTTGATGTTTTATGTCTGAAAATTACTATGGTTTATGGTTTGTGATTTCAGGTATAATAACTCAATAACTTCTTTCTCCTTTGAAACTTTGTCCTTAGTCTTTAATACCTGGATAAGTTACTTTTCTGAATTCTGCAGTACCAGTAATTCAAAACCTGGGAAATCTGGACTTCAGAGAAAATCGCTTTGGAAGAACTCAATGATCAATGGCAGTGCACTCTTCTGGCTGGGAAAATAGGCTTTCTACAAGAAACTTCTCATTGTAGCCATGAATAAATTTTACTAACCTGGAAAAGGTATATACGTTATTTAAAAGAGGGGAAAAAATGAAATAAAAAAATCTTGACAACATCTGGGCAGAGGGGCTCAAAGACGAGCCTACTTGCACTCTAAACTCTGACCCAGTGGTCTAAATCATGTCACTTACAAATAATGTGACATACCTCAAAATTATGAACCATTCTCCCCTGTCACAACATCTTCTGTTCCATGTTTTATAGAAGAAAAAAAACAACCCTGTATTGGAAATGTGAGATGGTCAAACATTCCCAAGTGTGTGTTCACCCAGGAAGGAATGGTGCCCTACTACCGTGAATCCAACTTTATGATCATTAGGGGGTGGGGGGGTGGAAATTGTAACTAATGTTTAGAAAAACTTAAGAATCACAATGTATTTCTTTATGTTGTAACCAAGTATTGTGTACCTTTAAAAAGAAAGAGATTTCTTTTATCTGTAAATCTCTCACTGAATCAAGGCTATTATTAGTTGCCTCAAGGACAGTGTAATCCTGAGAATCTAAAGTTACTCTGTTTTAATACCTTTTCTGTTATCGTTCCTCTAATAAGAATGTCTGTAAGTTTTTCAATTAAAGTAAGGTTTTAGTAGGGTTTTTTTTTTATTTTATGGATATCCACTCACAACAAAACGTGATTTTCCTTCCACACTGCAGGTTTTCAAAAACTTTTTATGAAAGCAGCTTCTTACTATCTCTTCTTCCAGGAGTAAAGCTGAGAGACTTCATCACATTGTTAGTCTTTGCCTGAAAATAAATTTTTCTTTTCCTGCTTTACCAGCATACCATTATGCTCACCTTTACTCCCCAAATTGACTACCTGTTTTCTTGAGGAAATCTAGGTGTATTTTTCATCACCAGCTTTATATTTCTTCCAGCATGTGCACCAGCTTTGAGTTCCTTATTTCTCACAGTGTTACCTCATGGAAAGTACTGTTTTCTTCAGTGAGGGAAATTCGTGTGCTCTTCAAGTAATGGAGTGCTATTTAAACCTTTATTCAAGGCTGATGTTGGAAGTCTAATGGCTTACATACCACCTTCTGGCCACAGAGGTGCTTTCGCAAATGCTACCAACCTATGCAGGTGGATTTGTTTAATTTAAGTAGTGCCATTATGGTGCTATGGACTAGAAATAACAGAACTCTGCAGTGTCCCTGTCAACAGATCTTGTTTATAAATAACTTGACAGTAAAAAAAGACAGTGAGAACATGCAGCAATTCTGGATTTAAAAATTACATTTGACACGACTGAAAAAAGGATTGACCAGGGTTTTTTTCTGCCTCACTTTTGGTAAGGTTTTCTGATAGTCCTTCTCTTATCATGTCTCTCTTCAAATATCAGGCTTTTGGGAAACTAAGAACATCAGGATTTCTCTCTAATTGGAAGTCTAGATGTCAAGCTGGTAGTAGATCATTCTGTAGCAGACCTGTCACCAGTTGTGTATGTGTCATGGTTTAAATCCAGACGAACGGGGAGGAGGATTGAAAGAGTGCAACTCCCATAGGTTGAGACAAGAACAGTCCAGCAACCAATGTACAACACAAATCACCACCGCTACTACCAACTACAACAATGATAAGAGAAAATAACAAGGGAAGAGAATACAATACCACCAGCCAAGAAACGAGTCCCCCCCGGAAACCTATGTCCTTCCGGGTAACTCCCAGTTACCCCCCACCCCGGGCATGACGTGCTGTGGTGTGTAGCCTCTTTGGCTAGCCTGGGTCAGCTGCCCCATCTCTGCTTCCTCACAGCTTCCCCTCCTCCGTGGCAAAGCATGAGCCTCACAAAGTCCTTGGTCAGGGTAAACATCACTTAGAAACAACCAAAAACATCGGTATCACCAGCACTATTCCCAGGCTGGAAGTCAAAACACAGCACTGCACCAGCTACCATGAAGGAGAAACATGACTGCTACTGCTGAACCCACGACAGTATGGAATCTAGTTCTGTATATTTTTAGTTCTTTAAAATGTCAATGTACTTAATAAATTCGAGTTTCCCTATTGCATCATCAGAACAAGTACTATTTTTTAAATAGTTCATAACCCCAATAGTTTGGTGTGCCTGTGTGCAGTGTTTTCGTAATATGAGTACAGTTGCTTTTAATGTTTGGTTTTGGTTGTGTTTGTTCATTATACTTTTTTTTTGCCTTTTTGACAAAGTTATTTATAATAAAATTCAGAACTTATGATGAAGAATATTTTTTAATAATATCGTGGTAAATGGGAAGGAGGAAATAAATGTGAAGATTTGGATCGTATAGACAATTCCTCTTGTCATAACTTAGACAATGTTTTTGAAGGAGTTGCTGATGCATGGCTGAAGAAATTAGTACCCAAACCATATGTTTCCAAATCAGATTCTTTCAGAAGAACCTAAGAGAACATACCGTATGCACAGTAAAAGTCGGCCCAAATCACTCATGTTTTGGAACTTATGAGGAAAAAATAAAGTAAAATAAAGCAAGAGGGAGGAACAGAATTAGGAAAGCATATTTAAGAGAGAAGGCTAAAAATAGAATTTACGTTTTTTCCCAGCATATATAGTAACTGAAGGATAATAGTTTAAGGTTTGTGGAAGGCTTATATGCTGAATAAAATGGATATGTATTTACCTAATGTTGTTGGGATTAACTTTCTATTATGAGGCAATAGGTTTATGTCAGTAATTGATATCTTCTTCCTATACATCTGCAGGTGAAATCAGACTGCCCTAAGTAAACATCACAAACAGTAGAAAAGGATAGCAGATTATCATAACGTACATATGTATTTTCATGTAATAAACTGGTGTTGCTTAATTGGCAGTTGAGGTGGCGAAAAGGAACAGACAGTGGCATACGAAATAGTGCCATGTAAACAAATAAATAGCAAATTAGGGCCACTTAATTTTTTCTTTAATGCAGGAACTTGTGCTCCTTGATAGAATTGAAAAGTGACACATTCAAAACTGGTGGAGAGGTGCTCTTTCCCTCCCAGAGTACACAGCTGACTTGGAGCACTGTTTGGTGTGAGTGTAGCAATAAAAATCAGCAGGATTCTGAAGCCTCCTACTCCAACTGACAAAAAAATGTTAGGGTCTACTAGATCACCTGTGTTTAATGTGGAGATGTGAGGGTAGGTGTATGAGTATTTCTGGGCAGTGAAAAGCAGTAGTAGGAAAGTAGAAAGTAGGAAAGTAGAAAGTAGAAAAATGTTTTGATTCTAAAAAGTGAGGCATGCATTCTCATCATGTAAAGATTTCTTGTAAGACACCTTTGCTAGCAGCAGTAACACAGTATCAAATACCAAAGAGCTTCCCTAATGTCATGGTTTAAGCCCAGGCAGTAACTCAGAACCATGCAGCCACTCGCTCACTCCTCTGTTTCTTCCCTCCTGCTCTTGGCAGGATGGGGAGGAGAATCTAAGGAATGTAAATCCCACAGGTTGAGATAAGAACAGTCCAGTAACTAAGGTATAACACAAACCCACTACTGCTACCACCCATAATAATAATGGTAAGGCAAATAACAAGGGGAGAGAAAACTTGGAAGGAAAAAAAAAAGCCCAAGTGATGCACAATACAATTGCTCAGTACCCGCTGACTGATACCCCACCTGACCCACGTGGCACTCTGTGCCTTCCAAGTGACTCCCCCCAGTTTATATACTGGGCATGACATACTGTGGTATGGAATACACTTTTGGCTAGTTTGGGTCAGGTGTCGTCTCTGCTTCCTCCTGGCTTCTTGTGCCCCTCCTCACTGGCAGAATATGAGAGTGTTTTAAATGTCCTTGATCTGGGTAAACATTACTTAGCAACAACTAAAACCAACAGTGTGTTACCAGCAATGTTCTCAGACTAAAGCCAAAACACAGCACTGCACCAGTTACTAAGAAGGAGAAAAATAACAGGACCCAGGACACTTAAGTACCGACTTAAAAAAGTCAGTGCTTTAATTAAAGCATGTCTATTCTGAACTAGTCAAAGCTGTCTGACTGGTTGATTTTAATTAGCATTCAGTAACCAGTGCACTGCTAGAACAGGACTGACTTTTGTTTTTCAGACATTATTTTAGACCAAATTATAATACATGTTTGGCGTTAATACGGAAGTTACTAATCACAAAAGAGAATAATCCATTTCTGTATTCTTTTTCCCAGACACCTGAGGAGCTAGAAGATGTATCTGACCTTGAAGAGGACCATGATGCACGTAGTCGTACAAGTATCCAGACTGAAGGGAAAACTGACAGGGTATGTATTATACCAGTTGATTTAAAAAATAATTTGATGGCAGGAAAAATGCTAATGGTGACACTGCTCCTACAAAGCCACTTAAAGGCATGCAGCAAGTCATTAAGATCTTTTTCAACTCTTAATAGATTTGTGAAAATGTGGTGAGGGCATAAAAGTGATGTGTATGATCTGAAAGAGTGAAAGACAGTGTAATTAAGTGGTAAATACTGGGTGAACATGTAAATTAGAAAAATTCTTAATGAATAAAATTCTACCATGTTACAGTTTCATAAATGTATCTTGGTGTAATAGAAACTAGGTTTCCATTGGTCTTATGCCATTGAAGCCTGCAATGCAAATTAACAAAAAATAACCTCCATGTACAAGAAAATTCACATGCACAAAAGAGAAAGGGATATATATCTGGAAACTTAGCCATTGCAGTGCATGAGTTACAGAGATTTCCTGCTGTGTTCATGTGTAAACCTATTCTGTAATTTATTGCTTAACTGGGGAATTAATAAAGAAATGTGAAGAAATGCATACAGTATTGACAATTTCAGTGTTTCTGGAAGTGCTTAATCAGATTTTCCTGTTGTATCCTCATTTAATCTAAGGACTTCACTACATTACAGTTTATTGTTTTAAAGGCCTATTGTTTTTAAGAGCCTGAAAACATTTCTGAGATAGCAAAAGGTTTCTTAGTACAAAATAGGTGCATTTAGCAAACAATATTCTTTATGTTTCAGTTTTAAATCATGTTTCAGCAAAACTGTATGTTCACAACTTTCTGAAGTGAAAAGATCCATGGGACCAGAAATGTCTGCTTCATTATTTGTTTACTTAATACCTAGAACAATAACATTTCTCTCACACTGGATTAATTGTAGTATTATTCCCATTATGGAAATTACAAATTATAGAACTAGCTGGGAAAAAGCAAAACTTCTCAGTATAAAAAAAGTTATGTGAAGAAAATGGCATTTTAATTCACATCTGTTTTTCAGGACCCATAGTTTTTAATTCAACAAAACCAAGTATTTTCTTTATTAAGACCCAATAAACATAATTGGCAATTTAAATATACTAGTGGCCCTTTTCAATTTAAATTACTTTTCGGAAATGTTAGCACATTTTCTGCACGTTACAGGCTGAAATTTCTATTGTAGTTAAGAAGGCAAGGTTTTCCTTCAAAATGTTAACCACATACGATGCTTTCAACTTGTTTGGAACAGGTACAGATGCTTGTGCTTGCATATTTTCGTAAATACCCCATAATGAAAGCACTTGAAGTTTTTCCTCTTACTGGGAGAACAGAAGTTGAAGTTTGTAGATGTTTACTGTTACAGTGTAGTAACAAAAAATCCACTAAAGCTTTAAAAGATCATGTTTACATATGTGGTCTTTCACTTCTCAGTTTAAACAGAGTACTACTTTAAAGGGAATGGGTTTTGGGAAAAAAAAAAAAAACAACCGATAAGTAACACATACTTCCAGATGACTACATGAAACAGTAAGTAAATGCTGAAGACTGTTGTAGGTAGGGAGCTGGGTATTGAGAATCAGAGGCATAGTTTATTGCTGTGGAGAGGTACCTTTGGCATATGGTTTTCTGTGTATTACACACATAATATGTAATTTGTACTGGCAGTGAATTTGGTTGGGAGGTGGAAGAGACCATTATTTATAGATAAACTATGGTTAATACATCTGAAAAAACACCAGCAACAATATTTTAACAGTATAGGATGTGCATTTCTATTTTTTTCTTCTATTTCTTCCCAAAATAATACAGTTACTGTAAATGTTCCTTTTGGGGGTATCTAGATAGCAGTCATTGCTTAATGCCTCATTCTATATATTTATTTGGGAACAATTTTCCTATATTTTAGACTATATCAGGGCCATAACTGGTGCATTACACCCGAAATTAATAGAAAATTATAGCTTGGACTAAAGTAGGTACATGTCCTTTCAGCCTAAATCAACATATTGACAAAACCTTCATGAACATTTTTCTTAAACAAGTGTTTGAACAAATATATTTTCTGCTTCAGCAAGCATGAGCAATGATTTAAGGCCTCTTTTTTTGGACTGCTTTTTGATAATGGTATTTGAAGATTTATACCTAGAACCTATTTAGCAATATGAAGAATCTGTATAGGGAAGATAGTTTTTAAGGCTTAGATAGCTATTTTCTTGGGTTTTGTTCTGCACTAGATTTCTGTACTATTGCAAGGCTTTTGCATGCAGTGGTAACACTAAGAATGACAGTGTTCCAGAAGCGAGATGGCAAGATTGCAGAGTAACCTTTATTCCTTTTTAAGCTCTTTCTTTTGGGCATTTCCACTATAGTAATTCAATTTATTTGTACATATCTGTCTCAATACTAGTTCACATAACAGCACTCTGATTCCTCTTGCTTTGTCAATTTGTTTTTTCATTTTATGGATGGTAGATAATATTTTATAAACAAGAATATTTATTGTTTAATTGTAGCAAAACAGTGTGTTAATAGTTGCTGTATGTAACTGAGTTCTTCATGGCCTGTGGTGCAAGAGATGGACCACTTCACAGGGAAGGTGCTCAGTATACAGTAAAGCCATCAAGACAAACAGGCCAAAAGATCTTGCTTCCTGTGGCAGAGGGCCAGGACTGCAATACAGCCACATAATATCTTAGCCCCTGTTTACTTATTACTAATGGTTTCACAGACACCACAGCCCCTGTTACATGGAAGTAATTTATTTGGCCCAACCCAATGATAGCATATAGATCTTAAAATCCAGAAGTGCTCAAGCTGGAACAGTTAGCTCAGGCCACAGCATGTTTAAACTATATATTTAATAATATCCAGAGATTTAGTTTTAAAAAAGAAAAATACCCAGACATAAAAGTTTTGCAAATCAAATTGTTTTATGTTTCAGGCAAAGATGACTCAACTGCCAGAGGCTGAAAAGGAAAAGATAGCTGAGCAAGTGGCTGACTTCAAAAAAGTCAAGAGTAAGCTTGATGCAGAGATTGAAATATGGGATGATACCAGTAATGACATCATTGTTTTGGCCAAGAGGATGTGTGTGATTATGATGGAAATGACTGACTTCACAAGGTAATTATGCAAAAAAAGGTATTTCAGTATTTATAAATATTGGAGGCCATTTTCATATTGTTACAGCATGAAATACGGAGATTTTTAATGTCAGGCGTCTTTACAAAATTGAGGAGCTAAACTAATGTAGTTAGTGTTGGCACACTAGCTAGTAGTACTGAAATGCTGGAAGGGAGGTTTGAAGTTTTGAACTATATTTGTCATAGAATCATAGAATAGTTAGGGTTGGAAAGGACCTTAAGATCATCTAGTTCCAATCCCCTTCCAATGACAGGGACGCCTCACACTAGACCATGTCACCCAAGACTCTGTCCAGCCTTGCTTGAACACTGCCAGGATTGGAGCATTTACAATTTCTTTGGTCAACATGTTCCAGTGCCTCACCACTCTCAAAGTAAAGAACTTTTTCCTTATATCTAACCTAAACTTCCCCTGTTTCAGTTTGGACCCATTACCCCTTGTCCTGTCACTACAGTCACTAATGAAGAGTCCTTCCCCACCATCCTTCTAGGCCCGCTTCAGATACTGGAAGGCTGCTATGAGGTCTCCACGCAGCCTTCTCTTCTCCAGGCAGAACAACCCTAACTTTCTCAGCCTGTCTTAATATGGGAGGTGCTCGACCTCCCTTACCATCCTTGTGGTCCTCCTCTGGACTTGTTCCAATAGCTCCATGTCCTTCTTACGTTGAGGATGCAAAACTGCACACAGTACTCGGTGACAGAAGATACAGAGATGGCAGAGTTACTGAATGCCTTCTTTGTCTCTGTCTACTCTGCTGCAGGCAGTCCTGAAGAGCCCTGTACCCCTGAGACCTTAGATGAAGTCAGGTCGACGGAGCGGTTTGCCTTAGTTGATGAGGAATGGGTTAGAGATCAGTTGAGCAATCTTGACATCCATAAATCCATGGGTCCAGATGGGATGCACCCGTGGGTGCTGAGGGAACTGGCGGAAGTCATTGCTAGACCACTCGCCATCATCTTTACCAAGTCCTGGGAAACGGGAGAGGTGCCTGAGGACTGGAGGAAAGCAAATGTCACTCCAGTCTTCAAAAAGGGCAAGAAGGAGGAGCCGGGTAACTATAGACCGGTCAGCCTCACCTCCATCCCTGGGAAAGTGATGGAACACCTTATCCTTGGTGCCATCTTAAGGCATATCAAGGATAAGAGGGTTATGAGGGGCAGTCAACATGGCTTCACCAAGGGGAAATCATGTTTGACCAATCTCTTAGCCTTTTATGAGGAAATAACATGGTGGATGGATGATGGCAGAGCGGTGGATGTGGTCTACCTTGACTTCAGCAAAGCATTTGACACAGTCTCCCAGAGCATCCTCACAGCTAAATTGAGGAAGTGTGGACTGGATGACCAGGTAGTGAGGTGGACTGCGAACTGGCTGAAGGAGAGAAGCCAGAGAGTTGTAGTCTATGGGGCTGAGTCTAGTTGGAGGCCTGTAACTAGTGGAGTGCCTCAAGGGTCAGTACTGGGACCGGTATTATTTAATATATTCATCAACGATTTAGATGAGGGAATTGAGTGTACTATCAGCAAGTTTGCTGATGACACTAAGCTGGGAGGAGTGGCTGACACGCCAGAAGGCTGTGCTGCCATCCAGAGAGACCTGGACAGGCTGGAGAGTTGGGCAGGGAATAACGGGATGAAATATAACAAGGGAAAGTGTAGAGTCCTGCATCTGGGCAGGAACAACCCCAGGTTCCAGTATAGGTTGGGAAACGACCTGTTAGAGAGCAGTGTAGGGGAGAGGGACCTGGGGGTCCTAGCGGACGACAGGATGACCATGAGCCAACACTATGCCCTTGTGGCTAAGAAGGCCAACGGCATCCTGGGGTGTATTAGAAGGGGGGTGGTTAGTAGGTCGAGAGAGGTCCTCCTTCCCCTCTACTCTGCCCTGGTGAGACCCCATCTGGAATATTGTGTCCAGTTCTGGGCCCCTCAGTTCAAGACGGACAGGGAGCTGCTGGAGAGAGTCCAGCGCAGGGCAACGAAGATGATTAAGGGAGTGGAGCATCTCCCTTATGAGGAAAGACTGAGGGAGCTGGGTCTCTATAGTTTGGAGAAGAGGAGACTGAGGGGTGACCTTATAAGTGTCTATAAATGTATAAAGGGGGAGTGTCACGAGGATGGAGACAGGCTCTACTCAGTGGCAAACAATGATAGGACAAGGGGTAATGGGTACAAACTGGAACACAAGAGGTTCCACTTAAACTTGAGAAGAAGCTTCTTCTCGGTGAGGGTGACGGAACACTGGAACAGGCTGCCCAGGGAGGTTGTGGAGTCTCCTTCCCTGGAGACATTCAAAACCCGCCTGGACACATTCCTGTGTAACATTATCTAGGTGTTCCTGCTCCGGCAGGGGGATTGGACTAGATGATCTTTCGAGGTCCCTTCCAATCTCTAGCATACTGTGATACTGTGATACTCCAAGTGAGGTCTCACGAGAGCAGAGCAGAGGGGCAGGATCACCTCCTTTGACCTGCTGCTCATGCTTCTTTTGATACAGCCCAGGATAAAGTTGGCCTTCTGGGCTGTGAGCGCACACTGCTGCCTCATGTTCAGTTTCGCATCAACCAATACCCCCAAGTCCTTCTCCACAGGGCTGCTCTGAATCTCTGTCCAGCTTGTGCCTGGGATTGCCCTGACCCCCGTGTAGGACCTTGCACTTGGCTTAGTTAAACTTCATGAGGTTGGCATTGGCCCACCTCACAAGCATGTCAGTTTCCCTCTGGATGGCATTCCTTCCCTCCAGCATATCAACCGAACCACACAGCTTGTAGTCATCAGCAAACTTGCTGAGGGCACACTCAATCCCACTGTCCATATTGCTGACAAAGATGTTGAACAAGATCACTCCCAACACCGACCCCTGAGGGACACCACTTTTTATTGGTCTTGAGTTGGACATTGAGGCATTGACCACAACTCTTTGTGTGTGGCCATCCAGTCAATTCTTTATCCACCCATCAAATTGATGTCTCCAGTTTAGAAACAATTATGTCGTGTGGGACAGTGTCGAACACTTTGCACAAGTCCAGGTAGATGGCATTAACTGCTCTGCTCCTGTTCATCAGTTCTGTAGCCCCATCATAGAAAGCCACCAAATTGGGCAGATAGATTTCCCCTTAGTGAAGCCATGTTGGCTGTCACCGACCACCTCATTGTTTTTCATGTGCCTTAACATGCTTTCCAGAATCTGCTCCAAGATTTTGCCAGGCACAGAGGTGAGACTGACTCATCTGTATTTCCCTGGGTCTTCCATTTTCCCCTTCTTGAAAATGGGGGTTATATTTCCCCTTTTCCAGTCATCAGGCAGTCCACCTGACTGACACAATTTTTCTAATATGATGGACAGCGGCTTAGCAGCTTCATTCACCAGCTTCTTCAGGACCATGGATGGATTTCATCAGGTCCCAAGGACTTGCGCACATTCAGGTTCTTAAGATGATCTCGAACCTGATCCTCTCCTACAGTGGGCCTAAGTTCTTCATTCTCACAGTCCCTGCATCTGCTTTTGGCAGTGTGGTCAGAGCACTTGCCAGTGAAGCCTGAGGCAAAGAAGTCATTAAGAACCTCAGCCTTCTCCAAATCCAGGGTAGCCAGTTGTCCCGATAGCATCCAGAAAGGGCCCGCATTGTCCCTAGCCTGTCTTTTATTTGCTACATACCTATAGAAGTCCTTTTCATTATCTTTCACACCCCTTGCCAGACTCCATTCTGACTGGGCCTTAGGTTTCCTGATCTGGTCCCTAGCTTCCTGGACAACATCCCTGTATTCTTCCCAGGCTTCCTGTCTTCACTTCCACCTTCTATAAACTTCTTTTTTCCCCTCTAAGTTTTCTCAGCCGCTCATTATCCATCAGTGGAGGTCTCCTGGCCTTTTTTGCCCCATTTCCTTCTTGTGAAGACACCAGTGCTCCAGAGCTTGGAGCAGGTGATCCTTGAATATCAACCAGCAGTTTTGAGCCCCCCTGCCCTTTAGGGTTTTTTCCTAGGAACCTTTCTGAGCAGGCTCCTGAAGAGGCCAAAGTCTGCTCTCTTGAAGTCCAGCGCAGTGAGCTTGCTGCACACTTTTCTCACTGTCCTGAGGATCTTGCACTTGACCATCTCACGATCTCTACAGCCAAGGCTTCCCTGGAGAATCACATTTACAATCAGCCCCTCGCTGTTGGTGAGCACAAAGTCAAGCATGGCACCTCTCCTTGTTGGCTCCTCTATTACTTGCAAGAGGAAGTTGTCTTCCACACAACCGAGGAACCTCCTGGACTGCTTGTGCCGGGCCGTACCATCCCTCCAGAAGGTATCAGCATGTTTCAAGTCCCCCATGAGAACAAGCACCTGTGAGCCTGAGGCTGCTCCTATCTCTCTGTAGAGTGCTCCATCCACAGAGTCATCCTGATCAGGCAGTCTGTAACAGATCCCTGCAGTGATGGCCCCCATCACTGTTCCCCCTCTTTGACCCTGACCCACAAACTCTCTGTTGACTGATCACCTGTCCCCAGATGGAGTTCCATTCTTTCCAGACTACCACTGACATAAATAGCAACTCCCCCTCCCCGTCTGCCTGGTCTGTCTTTATTCTAAACAGCTTATAACCTTCCATTCCAGCACTCCAATCATAGGAGCCATCCCACCATGTTTCTGTGATGCCAATGGTATCATATCCCTGTAGCCATGCACACATCTCTAATTCCTCGTTTATTTCCCATACTACTGATATTTGTACAGAGGCATCTGAACCAAGCTCCAAATAAAGCTGACTCACATTGGCTGAAGCAGCTGGAATAGCTCTGCATCACTCCAAGCACTTATTACAAGTGCTGGCAACTGAGTGGGAGTGTGGCGATGGACCGATGACGCCCTCTCCCAACACATCTAGTTTAAACCATCCTTGACCAGCCTGGCAAGTCTCCTGCCGAAGAAGCTCTTGCCCTTCTTTGTCGAGCAGCTCCACCAGCCTCCAGTAGATCTGGCCTCCCAAATCGAGTCC